TAGAGAAGGACATCGCCCCAGTGTACCATGAACGCATCGCCTAGAGAGTTCACTTCTCTTCCCGCCCGAGAGCAGTACATACTGCATTTTGAGTTGGTCTGAGTGGCAAAAACATTGAGGACCGGTGTTCCCCACTGACTGCAAAGCTGGGAGAAAACAACATCATTCAATGCCCACTTGTGTTTTTGCGTGGTAAGACGGCTCAGGTGGTCAGCAACAGTGTTGTCCTGTGTGGACAGGTGAATGGCAACTGGAAAAACATGGTGGTCGTAACACCATTCCCAGAGCTGATTCACTAGATATAGAAGAGTCAATTAGTTTGTTGATATAATACAGGGTAGTCATATATTCCGTGGTGATCTGAACCCCGCGACTAGCTACTAAAGGAAAGAAAGCGCAGTAGGCCTTGATAACTGTGAGCATCTCTAACTAATTAATGTGCAGCCGCTTTTCTGAGATGGACCACAGGGCATGGGTTTTGTGTCCACCACAGTGTGCACCCCAACCCATTGGGCTGGTGTCCATTGTAACAAGAACAGTCAGTTGGAGGGGTCCGAATGGACAGTGTACCATGAACGCATCGCCTAGAGAGTTCGCTTCTCTTCCCGCCTGAGAGCAGAACATACTGCATTTTGGGATGGTCTGAGTGGCAAAAACATCGAGGACCAGTGTTCCCCACTGACTGCAAAGCTGGGAGAAAACAGCGTCATTCAATGACCACTTGTGTTTTCGCGTGGTAAGACGGCTCAGGTGGTTGGCAACAGCATTGTCCTGTGTGGACAGGTGAATGGCAACTGGAAAAACATGGTGGTCGTAACACCATTCCCAGAGCTGATTCACTAGATATAGAAGAATCGATTAGTTTGTTGATATAATACAGGGTAGTCATATTTTCCGTGGTGATCTGAACCCCGCGACTAGCTACGAAAGGAAAGAAAGCGCAGAAGGCCTTGATAACTGTGAGCATCTCTAACTAATTAATGTGCAGCCACTTTTCTGAGATGGACCACAGGGCGTGGGTTTTGTGTCCACCACAGTGTGCACCCCAACCCGTTGGGCTGGTGTCTGTTGTAACCTGAACAGTCAGTTGGAGGGGTCCGAATGGACAGCTGACCAGGAGATGAGGAATCAAGGTCCACCAAGACAGTTGACAAGTCAACTCTGGGGTAACACATAGGTGCTTGAAGGGATGGTCCACCAGTGGGTCGAACTGAGACAGGTACCAAGCCTGCAAAGAGCGCATTTTTAGCCTTGCATGCTGAAGGACAGACATCATCAAAGCCATTAGACCTAGGAGGTGCTGTGTATGGTGAGCAGAAACCATAGTGAAAGGGTGAAAATGACGAATAGCGCACCTCAGCTTGAGTATTCTTTCAGGAGGGGGGGATACTCTGGCCCTGACCAAATTGAGGTGCACCCCGATGTGGTCCGTGGTCTCAGACAGCTCAAGATGAGACTTCATGATTGACCTGTAAACTGAAATCTACAAGGGTTTGAAGAGCAAAGGTAGCAACCCTGCGGGCTTCGTGGTCTGATCTCGCCACAATTGGCCAGTCGTCGATATACGGAAAGACCGTGATGTTGTGCAGATGAAGGTAAGCTGCAACAGGAGCTAGACAGTTTGTAAAGGTTCTTGGAGCAGTAGATAGCCCAAAGGGAAGCACACAGAAATGTTAAGCCGCACCCTTGAAGAGAAATCGGAGATACCTGAACTGCTTTTGATGAATCGAAATATGGAAATAAGCGTCCTGAAGATCTATAACTACAAACCAGTCACCTGGAGAGGGAAGTGAAATAACAGATTTGAGGGTGACCGTATGAAAACGCCTTGGATGGATCTAAGTGTTGAGATGTTGCAGATCTAAGATGGGTCGAAAACCTCCATCTCACTTGGGAACTGTGAAGTAATGGGAATAAAACCTGTTTAGAAGATCTTGAGAGGGGACTCATTAAATAGCATGTTTCTGGAGGAGGAGAGACACCTTCTCTTCTAGGGCAGACGAATAAGCTGTATGTTTGAGGTAACCGATGGGAGGAACCTCCATGAATTCCAGCAGGTAACCGTAACATATAATGGCAAGCATCCAAGCGTCCTTGGTGATGGCAGACCACTTGAAGAAAGAGGGGGCTAGCTGGGGATGATGGAGTTGGTTGGGCATGAAGATCAGAGGGAGGCAGTCAAAGATATTGCTTGTTGTTCTTAGCAGGGCGATGGAACGTCTGACAGCGTTGGGCAGGTGCCTGGGATCGGAAGGAAGACACAGCAGAGAAGGATAAAGGAAGGTTGGAGCGATCTGGTGGAGGAGGTTTGTATGATCTGTATGGTTGTTGAAAAGTGAATGGACAGCGCCACTGGTTGCGTTGAAATCCAGGTTGTTGAGTGGAGTAAGATCGGGCAATCTTACAAATCTTGTGTAGGTTGTCCATCACCTTGTCCGTCATTTCATTAAAAAGGCCGACACCATCAAATGGAAGCTCCTCTATATGGGACTCAGCATTGTTAGTAATTCCCGCTGCAGAGAGCCATGCATGTCTCCTACGGCCTATAGCCGACGCCAGGGCCTTAGTCCACTGTATGACAGGAGGGTAAGTGTTGTTGTTTCGCCAGTGTAGAAACCTCCAGGTGTGTATTGAGGACACTGGTTCTAACATCTTCAGGGGCAGCCTGAAGGACTGGGAGAAGTTTATTCCATAGCTGCTTCTGATAGGCCCCCATGGCAGCCTGATAGTTTGAA